GTCAATGTCCTGTAAGTACTGATGTTTACTATTTGAAGAAATGATTTAAGTTTAAACTGGATATTAGGATAAATAGGTAATGAATATTTAGTAAATCTGGTTTATAAAAGCTTGTATATTTGTTTAATTGTTATATGTTATATTGTGGTTTTGTTGAAGAGCTACCATATTGTTGTTAGAGAATTTCAACCATTTTCTTTAATATCTATAGGTTGCCAGGGATTAAGTTTTTCTTCTCCAGAGGCTCTAGATTTTTTTCTCTGTAGTGTTCCTAGTGAATTTGAAGTCAGATTTGTTTTTGTTAACCTATAGTTTAAGGTTCAAAAAGTACACCTAAAACTAATACAATGTTATATGTAAATTAAAAAATTTTAAAAATATTCTTAAATTATTAAATATTTTAGTATTATTCTGATATTAGGAGTTAATGTTAAATTGTAATTTAAGATAAATTTACTAGGGATAGTATTGTTGCAACTTCATATTAAAATTGGTGGAAGATCTGTTGTAATTCTTGTAGTAAACGTCTTTCTAACCATTTAGATTGGATGGGAAAAATACTTAATTGGCTATTTTAAGTAAAATTGTGATGTACAGTTAGAGGTTTCAGACAGTAGAGTTTATAAAATGTGACTAATTAAATGAGAAATTATTCAGTGTTTTTATTTTATAGCAATGCCATATGTATGTTACTTTTGCTATAGTTACCTGTATACCTTGTCTGGATTTACTTTTGTAAGAATTTGGAACTGAAATTATGATTTTCTAACTTAAAAACACTAAAGAAACTTTTTTGTAATGCTGGAACAGTTTTGTAATGGTTCGTTTCTGAGGCATGTTTTTTTGCTTGGAAAGAGTGGTGTCTCTTGGACCAGTCTGAGTTCAGGCTAATTGCTCAGGGCACTGTGAAAGTCATTTATTCAACAACTGTATATTATAACATCTATAGCTCCTGGAGTCATAAAAGATGTGTTCTCTTAATAGTTGGCTAGCAGTTTCTTTGGCACTATGTTCATATGAGTATTTTGTGTAGACTTCTAATGCTGCACTCTAGGACCCTAATTTGGCGTTTGTAAATTTTTGGTTAGGTCCAGTGATTATTAGATTAATGAATTGTGCTTTTGGGCCTATACAACTAAGAAAATGTTAGAGTGGAACTGAAAATTTAAGTTAAATGAAAATTTTATATTATCCTTTTGTTTTGGATTTTATTTTTTTCTTTGAAGCTTGTCATATTTTATTTTAATTATTTCTGGCCCTAACATGGTATCAGAGTTTTTATGTTCATGGTTTTATGTTTGTTTTGAGGTAATTGTTTTGAGGTGTTTGTTTTAATTAGTTATATAAAATTATTACTATAAAATTGAACAGGTTTTCGCTTCACAACTATCATTACTATGAATATTGTCTCACTTTCTACTTTTATTTTTTTTACTTTTTTAAAAAGATTTTATTGGAGTCCCGGCCCGAGCTGAGCAGCCGCTGAGCTACCGACAGGTGGCAGGATGGCTCAGCTAAAAAAAAAAAAAAAGATTTTATTGGGGAATTGGGGGAGGGGAACAGCACTGAGGAATTGGGGGAAGGGGAACAGATAGGTTGCTATTCTTTTATTCTTCAGTCTAGTTGTGGAGGACGTTGTTTCACTGGCCCATGATGGTATTATCATTGTGCTCTTCCCGGGTGAGGCAGATCAGTCGCTGGCCTCTGGACTGCCGTTCACGGCAGCTCTTGGCAGCTCACATATGCTGCTGGCCACTCATGCTGGCTGCGGGCCAAACACGGTAGCTTATGGCAGCCCACTGCAGCAGGGGCTGCAGCCTACACCAGCACTGGCGACTCACGGCAGCCCAGCTCCAGGTTAAGCTGTTGTTCACCATCATAGCTGTAGAAGGCAGTGTCACTGGCCTTCATGTGGGATCTGAACCGGGCCCTGCTGTTCAGAGCTAGCGTCCCAAACCAGCTCTTAACCAATGTGCCACTCGGCCGGCCCTGTGTTTCTTTGATTTTTAAGACCAATCAGTGAACATGTGAAGAACATCTATCTGGGAAAGAATTCTGATGAAAATTGTCCTGAGTTTTGAGTCTTATGAAAACAGAGGCAATAGATTTTTATTTAGCAATAATCTGTATTGGAGAAATAGATTCTTAGTACCTGAAGTTTAGCATTTTTGAATCTGTGGTCTCATGAGCTTATTGATGCAAGTATTGTTGTTTCATTAGGTTAGGTGAGATCTTAATTGTGGAACTTTTGAACTCATGTAAGGGAAGGTACTGTTCTTTTTAAAGCCCTCTACTCCATCTTTTAACACCAGGGAGAATTTGGTTTCAAAAACAGTCATTAAGCTAGGTAATAGATTTGAATACCAAGTATCATAAGAATTAATGAATGTTTCCAAATTAATATATGTGGTTGAAGTTTACTTTTGCTCTCCTAGTTTTTAAACTATGTTTGGAGAAGGAAGTGTGGGTTCATTTAGCTTTCTTGGTTAAGAGTTAAAAAGGGATAGGGTGTGGTAACCTTGTATTAGGGACTGAGGTGAGGCTATGTTACTAATTAATATAGATTGAATATAGAAGTAATAAAAAACATCACTAAAGACATAGGGCAGAGATATTTTTATTGTTTCATATTTTGAGGAAATTATCCTAATTTCCTATTTTATAATGGGGAGACTGAGGCTCAGGTGTGAAGTGATTGTCTTTCGGCATATGAGAAGGGAGGGAAAGATAGAGCTAGAACTCAGTTGGGAGGGCGGTGGGGGAGTTAGCAGCAAAAAACGCCCAGAACCTAGAAAAGTTACTTATTATCTCCCTTTATTAGGGAAAAATATCATTCAGTAAATATTTATTGGCCAGACACTATGTTAAGTTCAGGGGATACAGTCATGGGCATAAGAACATAGGTCTTTGCCCTCATGGAACATACAGTCTAAATGGAGGATACAGATTACAGGTAAACATAATTACAATTCAGGTAAGTGCAGCTGAGGAAATGTGTGTGATAATGTGAGGGTATAACAAGGGAGATCTAATTTAGATGGTGGATGGGTTAGTGAAGTGTTTGAGAGGATCTTGAGGGAGTGACACTTATGCAAGAATAGAAAGACATTCAGTAAAACCTTTCAGGCCCAGAAAGAGCATTTATTTGTGCAAAGGGCCCCTGAGATAAGGAGGCTCTTGGACTCTTCCAAGATCTAAAGGAAGGCTCCTACTAAGTGCAGAAGCGTAATGAGCAGGGTGGGGAAGAGTAGTGTTGAAATCTAGCAGGGATCAAATCGGTCAGGCATCTTACAGGTTGGGGGAGAGTAGTCTTAGGTTTTCTCCTAAGCACACTGGAAAGCCAAGTGATTGGTGATCTTGAAAAAGCTCTTTAGATATCCTGGGGAATCTAATAGGCAATGTTAGTAATTCAGCAGGAAAATGATGGTTCATTTCAGGGTTAGAGGGGTGTAATAAGAGATGGATAAAAGTGGGCAGTTTAAGATTTATTTTGGAAGTAGAATAGGACTTGGGGATGGCATAGCTGTAGGTAAAGAAAGGAGAATGATGAGTTAAGGATGAACTCTAGATTTCTAGTCTCAGTAGCTAGACACACAACTCCCAGATGGCAAAGACTGGAGAAGGTGCAGAAACAGAGTGAAAGAAAATTTAAAATCACTTGGAGTAGGCAGTTTAGGGCCTTAGAAACATCTTGATTGAGAAATATGGAGTCTAGGGTATCGAGATACTATTTAAAATCATGGGGGTGGGTGAGATCCCCAAAGGAAGTTAAAATCACTTGAAAGTACCTTACAGTTAAATTTTGGTCCTATGGGAAAGAATAAATTATTCCTTATCCCTAGAAATTCTATGCCCTGAAGATAACCTGTGTGAATTAATTTATTCATTTATTTGTTAGATCAAAAGGGATTTTTGTTTAGACTCTATCATAATCCTTAAATGGATTTTTAGTATATTAATTAAGTGATTCTTATCAGCTTCTAAAGATAGAGTAGCATTGTTTTAGATATCTGAGAGTAGCATTGTTTTAGATATCTGATAAAAATATGTTAAGAAAATTTTGTGGCTAGATTGTAAGCAACATGAGGGATAATCTATCTGTTATGTCATCTGTCATTGATCCCTGGTCCTTTTCCTCATGTTGCCAGAGATTAGTATCATCAATTTAGCGTGTATTACTGCAAATTATTTTCTGTGCAAATACAATCATATACCCATAAAAATTATATAGTAAGATTGTGTGTGCATTTTGAAAACATGTATGTACACCATATGTATCTTTCTGCAACTTGCTTTTTTTTACTTAGCTGTATATCTTATTTTTCTGGGTTAGTATGTAAAGCTCAACCTCTTTTTTTAACTGTTGTGTGATAGCTCATGGCATGGGTTTAACACAGTTTAGACATTCTGTTGATGGACATTTAGTTTTTTTCAATTTTTTGTTATAGATCATGCCGCACAGAATGTATTGTGTAGTAGTTTCTTTGGGTTCATGTGTGTTTTCTCTAGGGGAGATTCTGAGAATAGACTTGTTGAGTATTTGTTTGTTGTATGGTCCTGCCAAACTGCCTTCCACTGGACCCATTATACTGACTGAATTTCCACTATTCACATTCTTGTCAACACTGGATACTAACAAATAGTCAGTTTAATTTGTGTTCTTTCTAAAGTATGGATATCAGTTTTTCTGTCACAACTATGTATGTATATATAATATATTTTTTGTTTTGCAAATTTTTACACCTCATTTATGGTTTTTTCTTTGCTGTGGAAACATTTTATAATGTCATGGGAAAAACCCATTTCACTATTGCAAGAAATACAATAGAAATAGCTATAACAAATATCCAAGACTTTTATGAAGGAAATTGTAAAATAATAACCACAGGACAGGGGCCGGCCGAGTGGCGCNCATATTCATGGTGTCTTTCTTTAATGCATTGTTAATAGTATGTATCACCGTCCCCTCCCACCTATCCTTTTAAACATTTGAAGGGGAAAAGCAGGGAGTAAACGCGGCTCCGGGCTCCGGCTGGCGGAGGGGCCACTGGAAACGCCGGAGGTGTGGCCTGCACCTGATGGACAGCCTCCCGGACCACCCCCTCGAGGGGGTCCTGAAGGAAGGCCGACGGAGCCAATGGACGTGCCCCGGGCGCCCCGCCCCGCCCTCCCTGTCAGCCAATGGGGCTGCAGCAGGCGGGGTCTTCCCGGGCTCGGCCGCTCCGCCGCCTTCTCCGCCTCCTTCTGCTCACCAGCGCTAAACCCGGGACTGGACCGAACGGAGTTGTGCGCGTTGCCGAAGGGGGTGGGCCGGGGGAGGGGAGGTTCGTTCCGCGGAGCCGCAGCCAGAACCGGGTGAGGCTCGTCCCCGCTGTCTTCGCAGTCCGGGTCTGCCGATGGTGGGGGTGGCTGGCGCAGCGCAGCCTTGGGAGGCGGAGGCGGAGGCGGAGGCGGCGGCGGCTGGAGAGGCGGAGATGGGTGAGGGCGGCCTCCAGAGCCTCCCCCCGGCCCGGGACTAACCCCCGCGGCGCGGCCGCCGTCGCCCCTGCGCGTCGGGCCTCGGGGGCTGCTCCGGGCTCCGCTCATGTCACGGGCGCCGGCGCGTGCGGCCCGAGGGCTGCGGGCGTGCGGGCGAGGCTGGGAGGGCCGGGTGAGGACGCGGGCGTGGGGCGCCTGGGGCGGGGGGCGCCGAGTGTTTCCCTTTCTGTGCGGGGGGGGTGGGGGGAGGGGCGCGAGGTAGTGGTCGGGCTCCCCGGGCTACGCTGGAGCCGGGGGCCCCTAGGTGTTGGGGGGCGAGAGTCTGCCTCTGCCCCGGGCCCTTCCTGCGCGCTCTCCTCCCCGGCATCGCGCTGCGCGGCCCTGGTTCCTCACGTATTGTTTGGCTGGGTCTCTAATGGCGGACGGGGAGGCAGCGCTGCCGGTCGCCGACTGCAGGCGGGGTGGGGGGGGGCAAGTCTTGGGCCCAGGGCAAATGCTTGGGGCAAATATGGGAGATTTCAGCCCAGCAGTGACGTGAGCTGACCCTACCTTCGAATTGGTGCCCGGAGTGACGGGGGTGATGCCCGGTGGGCCAGTTTGGGAGGGAATACCATTCGCTTGCTGGCGTCGAGGCAACGTTCGCCCTTCCCCCGCCTCCTTCCCGGGAGCAGGCTTGGTGTCCTCCGCCTCCTCCCTCCAGATTTCGCATTTCACGTGGGTTTTGGTCCCAAATACATATCTTACGCCTTTTTGCTCCGCTTTACGTACGATGGGTTGTTGGGTCTCGGGCTGGGCAGTGATAGTAGAAGGGCCGAACCTTCTTGACCTCTTATTCCCTTCTCTGCCTCCTCCTGGTGGGAAGGGTTTGGTTCTCCCACCTGGATAGGTTGTTCTTGATCCATTTCTCATTTTTCTTCTTACCCAGGGTCAGGAATCGTCTTCAACCCTGTCTGGTACATCTTTGACAGAAAGTGAGAAGGAAAACATCCCCATTGTGAGTCCTTTGCCCCTAATTTGTTGCTGTTAGAGACGTTGTCAGGTTGTATGTAGGGTTCAGCCATGGGACTCGTCTGTCCCCGTTGTTTTGAGGGGGAGGAGCTTTCCCTTGGGTGGCAGCTGCCCCCGGGGCGAAGCCTGGGTAATGGCTGGGAGGCAGCTGGGAGTGGGCGCTGTTTGCACCGCTGCAGACATCGCTTCTGCTGCTGCAATACCAACCTCAGCAACCAGACGACGGGCTCCTGCAGCTGCTCACGTTACCCGGGAGGAGGGGTGCTGGGGAGGAGGGTATATTTCTGGTGCCCTCTAGAGTTCCACAGTGGGAACTGAAGTTACTTCCTTTTAAATGCTATGCAAGCAACCATCTTTAACATTTTTTCTACTTTTACAGTGGAGTTTAGTGTTTGTAATTTGTTGGTTTTAAGGCAGTCTGGTGATGTGCTAGGCAATTAGAAAACAACCAGGCAAAATTGCCGTCAATTGAAACTAGTTACAAAATAACAGTGAAGGTACGCTCTGGACACATTGTATACACTCTTAGAGTTCATTGATAGTTAATATTGTAACTTTTAGATCTCTGCCAAAGGTGAATCATAAGGATAGTGGCTTATACTTAAGTATTAATTACCAAATGGGTCAAAAGACAGGTAATTGATTGTGAATATTTGCTGAATATTGATTGTGAAGGATGTGAAGATGGCAACTTATATTAAATAGATACCATTCTAGGCCCAGTGCAGGACACTTTCACGTATTAGTTCCTTTGATCTTAGCAAGTAGACCGCTGGATAATAAAAATGGCACATATTGAGCCCCTATTGTATGCTAGCACAATTCTAAACTAAGGTGTTTTTTTTTAAGTTTATTTAGAAACTTTCAAATTTATGAGTGAGAAGAGGTTCAGTATCCTATGTGTACCTATCATTTGCATTCTGTAATTATCAACACATGTCCAAACTTATTTTTAACACGTGTTAAGTAATCCTTATGAAAACCCAGTGATATGGGTACTGTTTTTAGTCCTAATTTGTAGAGGAAGAAACAGGCATAGTCTGATTTGGTGAAGCAAGGATTTGAATTTAAGTAGTTTGATTACAGTGCCTAAGTTCAGCAACTATGCTGTCCTGCTTTAAGAATATGCTTTTCTTAAACAAATTTAGAAATTGAAACGGAAAAAAAATCCAAGGTTAGAATCTCTTCAGTCTTGGTTCTTTTCCTAGAGAACAGTGTGTAAACAAATATATAATGTTTGAATCTTACAGACTACCTTTTAAAAAAATAATAGAACCATAGGTATCAATTAGATCATTTTACTGCCTTATTTCAAAACTAACAGGCTCTGTTTGAATTAAAAATAATATAGTCTCTTTTTCAGTGTGTCTTTGTACAGTTTAGAGTCTAATTGCTTCTTACATACTGCAACTTGAATGAATATGACTTCTCTAATAGGTTTAAAGCTCTTTTCAGGCATTAGGTCATTAAGATGTAATGGATCAAGGATCAGATCTTTCAAATACATGGGCAATATTTATTTTATCACCACACATTTTCAGAAAAGATTGACCTTTATCAGATTTTTTTCTTGGTTCTTAGTTGTGATGTTGATAGGGGGACAGTTTATGATTGGTTATGTTTTTGGTAGACATTTGGAGATGACATACAAAATGTATAGTCAGGACTTTTCTGCAATATCAACACATGTATACTAAGGAAAGCCATGGTTCTTTCAAATAATACCAAAAAGTGCTTGATATGGGGGTGGGAGGTGGTGGGGGTGGTGGATTGGGAGAGGGGGGACTGTCACTTTGAGGGGTAAAAAGTATAACTATTGCACTGTGTTGTACACCAGAAACTAATTTAAAAAAAAGTGCTTATTGATTTGCTTAATGCTTTAGCTCAGAATTTAAAATTCCTTTACTTAAAAACACCAGTTAATGGTGTTTTAATGTGCCTGACAATAAGATGAAGATAACCTGACAATTTTTAATTGACCTTGACTAAATAAGTTTTTTATTACACTTAACATTTATTGGGTACTTAATATGAGTTAGATGCTACTAGATGTACTTAGGAACTATTTTAACAGTTAAAAATACATACTTTGCATATTCATGGTGTCTTTCTTTAATGCATTGTTAATAGTATGTATCACCGTCCCCTCCCACCTATCCTTTTAAACATTTGAAGGGGAAAAGCAGGATAGTCCCTACTTTTCCATGTTCCACTTTTATATAATCTCATGGGCTGGACTTTTTTGTACCTTGTTTGGTGAGACAACCCTGAATCACCTCACACAGATGCTGACATATGAGTGTTTTATTTTTTGCGTGGATATGGAGCTTGACATGCCATCTTTGTACAACAGTGTTCATATTTTTTTTTTTTTTTTAAGATTTTTTTATTGGAGACTTGGGGGATGGGAACAGCGCTAGGGAATTGGGGGAAGGGGAACAGACAAGTTGCTGTCGTTTGTTGTTCAGTCTAGTTGTGGAGTACATTGCTTCACTGGCCCAAGTTGGCACCATTATTGCGCTCTTCCCAGGCGAGGGAGATCAGTTGCCGGCTTCTGGACAGCTGCTCACTGCAGCTGCTTGGCTGCTCACGCTGGCTGCTGG